TTTTGTCTTTGTCTTTGTCTTTGTCTTTGTCTTTGTCTTTGTCTTTGTCTTTGTCTTTGTCTTTGTCTTTGTCTTTGTCTTTGTCTTTGTCTTTGTCTTTGTCTTTGTCTTTGTCTTTGTCTTTGTCTTTGTCTTTGTCTTTGTCTTTGTCTTTGTCTTTGTCTTTGTCTTTGTCTTTGTCTTTGTCTTTGTCTTTGTCTTTGTCTTTGTCTTTGTCTTTGTCTTTGTCTTTGTCTTTGTCTTTGTCTTTGTCTTTGTCTTTGTCTTTGTCTTTGTCTTTGTCTTTGTCTTTGTCTTTGTCTTTGTCTTTGTCTTTGTCTTTGTCTTTGTCTTTGTCTTTGTCTTTGTCTTTGTCTTTGTCTTTGTCTTTGTCTTTGTCTTTGTCTTTGTCTGTGGCTACGTCTGTACCTGTGTGTGTACTTGTGACTGCATCTGTGTCCGTATCTGTGGCCTTGTGTTGGTGTTTATTTTTTCTGTCTGTGTCTGCATGGGTATGATTGCCTTTTGCCTTTGTCTTTGTTTTCGTCTCTGTCTTTGTCTGTGTTTGTGCCTTTGTCTCTGTATGTGAACGTGTCTTTGGCTTTGTGTTTGTCCTTGTCATTGTGTTTATGTTTGTCTTTGTATGCATTTGAATCTCTGTCTGCGTCAATACCTGTATGCATACCTGTGCCTGTATCCTGTCTTTATCTGTGTTTTTGTCTACATCTGTGCCCATGTCCATGTCCGCGTCTGTGTTTTTGTCTTGTCTTTGTCTATATATGTTTCCATTGCCAAGTCCGTGTCTGTGTCTGTATCTGCGTCTGTGTCTATGCCTGCCTCTGTGTCTTTGTCTTTGTCTGTATATGTGTCCATGTCTGTGTCTGTGTCCGTGTCTTTGTCTTTTCCTATACCTGTGTCTTTGTCTTGCGTTTTTCTGCGTCTGTGTCCTTGTATATGTCCTTTGTTTAGTCTTGTATTTGCCTATTCGTGTGTCTGTGTCTGTATCCGTTGATGTCTAGTCTTTGTGTTTGTTTTTGTTTTTGGTTTTGTCTTTGTCTTTGCCTTTGCCTTTGTCTGTGTAAGTATCTGTATGTGTACTTGTCTTTGGCTTTGTGTTTGTTCTTGCCTATGTGTTTATGTTTGTTTTTGTCTATATTTGTCAGTGTCTGCGCCTTTATCTGTATGTGTAGCTGTGACTGTATCTGTGTCTGTGCCCATATCTGTGGCTTAATCTTGCATTTGTGTTTGTTTTTGTCTTTGACTGTATCCGTTTCCGTATGTGTGCCTTTTGTTTCATTTTATTTGTGTTTGTTCTTGCGTTTGTGTTTATATTAGTCTTTGTCTTCTTTGGTTTGTGTCTGCGCTTGTTTCTGTATGTGTACGTGTGAGTGTATCTGTGTCTGCCCTGCAAAAAATTGTGCGACTAATCTGAGATTACTCTCAATCGGGTACAATTGGGCATTAATTAGTCCCAACTAGTCTCATACGGGTGCTAATGGAGGCCAATTAGGCTCGACTCATCCCTTGTGGGTATAATTGGAGATCAATTAGTCCCCAACTCATCTCTAACGGGTACTATTAACGATTTAATGATATGTACGCACTTAGTCAATGAAATTTCATGTGCGGCGTTGGCACACAGAGAAGGTATTCGCCTAACAAAACTGAGCACCCCGGTTCAAATCTCAGCTGGCGAAAATTTTTATTTTTATTTTTTAAAAGTGACTAGTCGCTTTTTATACCCTTTCGGGTATAAATGTGAACAATTAGTCTCTTCATAGGACATGCCCGAACAAAAGCGATCAGTTTATTCCATATAAAGAGATCAAAAGCGGTATTAGGCGCATGCTCCTTTGCGATTGCTCCCGGAGTCATCCCGGAATAGTCCCATTTTTTGCAGGGTGTGTATATATATGTGGCTTTGTCATGTCTTTGTGTCTGTCTGTATCTATATGTGTGCCTGTCTTTATCTGTTTTTGTCTACAGCCGTGCCCATATCCATGTCCACGTCTGCGTCTTTGACTGGGTTTTTGTCCTGCCTTTGTCTATATATGTGTCCGTTTCCACGACCGCATCTGTGTCTGTATCTACGTCTATGTCTATGCCCGTCTCTTTGTCTTTATCTGTATATATGTCCACGTCCATATCCATGTCCATATCTGTACCTGTAGCCGTGTCTTTGTCTTTTCCTGTATCTGTGTTTTTGTCTTGCCTTTTTGTGCATCTGTGTCCGTGTATGTCTTTTGTTTAGTCTTGTCTTTGCCTATTGCTATGTCTGTGTCTTTATCTGTGTTTGTGCCTTTGCTTTGTGGTGGTCCTTGGCTTTGTGCTTATGCTTGCCTTTGTTTGTGTTTGTGTCTGTGTCTGCGTGTGTACCCGTTGTGTACCTGTGACTGTATCTGTGTCTGTGTCCATACCTGTGGCTTTGTCTAATCTTTGTGTTTGTATTGGTTTTTGTCTTTGGCTTTATATGTATCCTTACGTGAGCCTCTTTGTGTTTGTCCTTATCTTTGTTTTCAAATTAGTTTTTTTTTTTTTGTGTTTCTGTGTCTGCGTCTGTACCTGTATGTGTACCAGTGACTGTATCTGTGTCTGTGTCCATATCTGTGGTTTTGTCTTGTCTTTGTGTTTATGTTTTTGTTTTGACTATGTGTATCTTTATCTGTGTTTTTGTCAATACCTGTGTCCATTTCCATGTCCGTGTCTATGCCCGTGTCCGTGTCTTTGTCTTTGTCTATATATGTATCCACGTCCGTGTCCATGTCAATGGCTGTGTCTATGTCTGTGTCTGTCTGCGTGTCTTTGTCTTTTCCTATATCTGTGTATACCTTTTGTCTTGTGTTTTTATGCACCTGTGTCCGTGTATGTGTCTTTTGTTAAGTTTTGCCTTTGCCTATTCCTGTGTCTGAGTCTGTGCCTAGTTTTGTGTGTCTGTGTAGGTATCAGTATGTGTGCCTGTCTTTGTCTTTGTCATTGTGATTTTGACTGTCATTGTCATTGTTTTTGTCATTGTCATTGTCATTTTCATTGTGATTGTGATTGTCATTGTCATTCTGATTGTCATTGTCATTGTCATTGTCGTTGACATTGTCATTGTCATTGTCATTATCATTGTCATTGTCATTGTCATTGTCATTGTCTTTGTGTCTTTGTGTTTTTTTTTTTATTTGTGTATTTGTGTACCCGCATATTTGTATATTTGTATATTTGTGTCTTTGTGTCTTTGTGTTTTGTGTCTTTGTGTCTTTGTGCCATTGTGTCTTTGTGTCTTTATGTCTTTGTGTTTTTGTGTCTTTATGTCTTTGTGTTTTTGTGTCTCTGTGTCTCTGTGTCTTTGTGTCTTTGTGTCTTTGTGTCTTTGTGTCTTTGTNTCTTTGTCTTTGTCTTTGTCTTTGTCTTTGTCTTTGTCTTTGTCTTTGTCTTTGTCTTTGTCTTTGTCTTTGTCTTTGTCTTTGTCTTTGTCTTTGTCTTTGTCTTTGTCTTTGTCTTTGTCTTTGTCTTTGTCTTTGTCTTTGTCTTTGTCTTTGTCTTTGTCTTTGTCTTTGTCTTTGTCTTTGTCTTTGTCTTTGTCTTTGTCTTTGTCTTTGTCTTTGTCTTTGTCTGTTGTCGTTGTCGTTGTCGTTGTCTTTGTCTTTGTTTTGTCTTTGTCTTTGTCTTTTTCTTTGTCTTTGTCTTTGTCTTTGTCTTTGTCTTTGTCTTTGTCTTTGTCTTTGTCTTTGTCTTTGTCTTTGTCTTTGTCTTTGTCTTTGTCTTTGTCTTTGTCTTTGTCTTTGTCTTTGTCTTTGTCTTTGTCTTTGTCTTTGTCTTTGTCTTTGTCTTTGTCTTTGTCTTTGTCTTTGTCTTTGTCTTTGTCTTTGTCTTTGTCTTTGTCTTTGTCTTTGTCTTTGTCTTTGTCTTTGTCTTTGTCTTTGTCTTTGTCTTTGTCTTTGTCTTTGTCTTTGTCTTTGTCTTTGTCTTTGTCTTTGTCTTTGTCTTTGTCTTTTTGTCTTTGTCTCTGTCTGTGTCTTCGTCTTTTTGTCTTTGACTTTGTGTTTGTCCTTGCCTATGTGTTTATGTTTGTTTTTGTCTGTATTTGTCACTGTCTGCGTCTTTATCTGTATGTGTAGCTGTGACTGTATCTATGTCTGTGTCCATTTCTGTGGCTCTGTCTTGCCTTTGTGTTTTGTATTGGGTCTTTGTCTTTAAGTGTGCCTCTTTGTGTTTGTCCTTGTGTTTGTGTTCATATTAGCTTTTGTGTTTTTTTTTGTGTCTGTGTGCGCGTCTGTACCTTTATGTGTACTTGTGCCTGTATCTATGTCTGTGTCCATATCTGTGGCTTTATCAAGTATTTGTGTTTGTTTTTGCCTTTGTGAGTGTCTGTATCTGTATGTGTGCATGTCTTTATCTGTGTTTCTGTCTACATCCATCTGTGCCCATGTCTATGTTCGTGATTGTGGTTTTGTCTTGTCTTTGTGTATGTATGTGATCATTTCAATGTCCGTGTCCGTGTCTTTGTCTTTGTCTGTATATGTGTCCACGTCCATGTCCATGGCTGTGGCTATGACTGTGTCTGTGTGCGTGTCTTTGTCTTTTCCTATAGCTGTGTATATCTTTTGTCTTGTATCTTTCTGTATTTGTGTTCGTGTATGTGTCTTTTGTTTAGTCTTGCCTTTGCTTATTCCTGTGTCTGTGTCTAGTCTTTGTGTTTGTTTTTGTTTTTGGTTGTTTCTGTGTATGTGTCAGTATGTGTGCCTGTCTTTGTCTTTCTCTTTGTCTTTGTCATTGTTATTGTTTTTGTCTTTGTGATTGTCATTGTCATTGTCACTGCCTTTGTATTTGTATTTTTCTGTGCCTGTTTCCGTGGCTTTGTCTTCTCTTTGTCTTTGTGTCCTTTTCTTCAATTTTGTATTTTTCTGTGGCTGTGTTTTTCTGAGTTTTGGTCTCTTTCTATTTTCTTTTGTTTTCGCCTTTGGCTTTGTTACGGTTTTGTGTATTCTTGCTTTTGCCTTGGTCTTTATCTGTCTTTGTTTTTTTCCCTGTCTTTATCGTTGGCGTATTCATTGGAATTGTATGTGTGTCTTTCTAGTGGCGTTAAATATTCGAAATACCGTTTTTTCTTTCTGTTAACGCATGAGCTATACTTTTGTTTCGATAAGGCAACCATATCCGAAGTGTTCTAAAGTCCGTCCGCGACACACAATGAGCGATGATGCGGCTAATTCAGGGAACTAAAATGTAACATTCTCTTCATTTGGTCAATCTCGAGCGGGCGAGCGCCAACAACTTTGTTAAAGGAAAAATTAAGCATTTCTATTTTGAAACAAGTAAATTTTTCTCACATATAATTCCAAAACGGTGATCGGCAAATCTGCAATTTCCTCTTGACGCTGAGAAAAGGGAAAAATTTAGAGTTTATGGTTTTTGTCATTGCTGTGCCACCTTAAACCTCTCAAATCCTTCGTACAAATTGGGAACATTTAGAAACCATACGCAACAATTTTAATCGAAAAGACAAAAAACGTATATTTGTTCCATTAGAATAACACCTATACTTAAGCGATACTTCTGGAAATATACTTTAGATCAAAACAAAGGAAAGAAAGAAAAGAAAAATAGAGTTCCAATTTTTTCAGTTACAAAGCCGATTTTAGTTCAGAATTATGATCGGTGCATATTAATTTAGGATTGTATTTTGTGGGCGTATTATTAGAGATATTAGTTTATAAGTTAGATATGTACAAATGTAAATAAATTTAAAAAACTCAGTAACTAGAGCAAAAAAGTAGTAATAAAAGAGATAACAAAGCATTTGAGGAAAGGTAAGCTTAGCGTTTAAAGAAAAGGAGCAGTAAATACAACTGAATAAAGCTTACGTAATTCAAGTAAAACAAGAAGAAAAAACACTTAAAAAATAAAGAACAGTAAAGTCGTATGTATATAACGTGCTAAAATTTTACAGATCATACAGCAAAATTGAATACAGCCATTACTATATACGCGATTGAAATTTAAAAATTGTCATTTAAAAGTGTAAAAATTAATTCACAAATTATGATTGAAAATAAATAAATCCTTTTTCAGATGCAGAAAATAATGATCATAAAAAAATACTTTAGAAAATATGTATATTTAAAAATATATGTATATGAAGTAAGTGAAGTGGACAAAAGAATGCATACTAAAAAAAAAAATATTATAGTAAGACCAAAAACAAAATTTGAAGTATAGCGACCATAACTGAGCGAAAGGTAGTCTTTTATTTAAAAATTCGCAATGTTTTTCAAGTTAACATTTTTTGTTTAATTTTCTTATAAAACTATTTGCCACGCTATAACCACACTATATGATCAAAGTTTGTACAAAGTTTTGAGAGTACTCAAAAGATGAAAAATATTTATGGAAAAGTTAGCAATAAAAAGCCACCAAGCTAGACTTACAGTTTCGAGGCTAGAACAAAAATATATGGTCATACTGGTAGCATGCGCTTTATTACACAAAAATTGTATGATCGTTGTATACAAAAAATTTCAATTAAAAAGTGTGTCATTTTGAGGAAATTTTTCTACATTTTGTATACAGTTTGAAACTTTGATTCACATGGCTGTGGTTATAGCATGAACAATGGCATAAAAAAAGTTAACTTGAACAAGTAAGAAAGTCTAAGTTCGGGCGGAGCCGAACATTAAATAC